AAAGCTCAGCACGGGTTCACCGGAATCGAAGGAGATTGCCTCGGAAACAGCGTCAGCATGAATCTTCCAGAAGAGATGTAGACCAAGATGGTGTGGCCTTTTCTGTGGTCGCAGTCTACTTTCGTTCTATAGAGGTTGTTTAACCTTGTTTTCGCAACTTGGTCACATTGGTAGGAAGATTTAAAGGAACGCAACTAGTCCGGAGTCCATTGCATACATGATCATTTCCACAGTAGGACCGTGGCCGCGATGCATTCCCACTTTTAGCAACACACTAGAACTCGTCAAATCGACAATGGAAGCCGATCCTTTGACCAAATGTGTGCTAAACAGTTGTGGTATCTCTCCTGTCCTGGATTATTCACCTTTCCTATATCCTCGTATCAGGACTTCAATATCACAATTTTTTCTTCCTAATTTAAATGTTATGTGATGTGCCCTTTTGAGCGTCTTTAATGAAAACCCTCAACACTCCACACTAGCGTTCTCACCCCCATTCACTCTTGTGCTGGGAATGTGGATCAGAGTCTGCCATATTGTTACGCTGCCCTCCTTCCCTAGTTCTTATCAGTCTTCCTCTTGCTCCGTAGAATCCGTCTTCTATCTCCATGGTTCAAGTATTTCACTCAACCCCTGCCACCTCATCTGTACTTCTCAATGCGTTATTACCCCTCACCTGCATCTGGGTGACTAATTCGAGGCTTAAGCCTCTGAGTCATGGTCAAGCCTTTACTACATAGACCACATCTCTGGTAAAAACCTACTGTCAGCCAACTATCTCCAGTCTCCGCCGCGTCTATCCTATTTCTATCTCTAATACCAAGTCTATGACTTCACATGCCCTAGTATCTTGTGTGCCAGCCCACTAATGTTGTGGTACTGCTTGCTTTGGTTATGTTCAATGTTGAACCACAACGTTTGTGGGTTGGCACACAAGAGACTAGGGCATAGCAAGTCACAAACTTGGAATTCCGAATAAAAGCAGTACAGAAGTGGCGGAGACTAGAGCTAGTGGGCTCAAACTAGGCCTGTTTTACCGTAGACGTGGTCGTGAAGCAAAGGCTTGACCAGGAGAATCACCCAGGCGATTTAGCCTCAAGTTAGTCTCCCAGACGCAGAGTGTGGGAAATAACGTCTAGAGTAGAACAGATGGAGTGGCAGGGGTCGAGTGAAATACGTGAACCAGAGAGAGAGCAGACGGATCCTACGGAGCAAGAGGGAGACTCTGATAAGACCTAGGAAAGAAGAACTGCGTAACAATATGGCAGACTCTGATCAATATTCCCAGCGCAAGTGTGAAGGCGGTGAGAATGACAGTGTGGAGTGTGAAGGGTTTTCATGAATGTTGCTCGAAGGAGAACACCACACTACATCGAAATGAGCACAGTACAAATTGTAACAGTGAAGACGTGATAGGAGGATATAGGAAATGTGAATAGCCCAGGGCAGAAGGGGAGATATCACAACTGTTTGGCACACGTTTGGTCAAAGGATGGGCTGCACTTTTCTCTTTTTCGAGCTGTACTATGGTGCTACGAATGGCGAGACTCACTGACGATGCCGACAAAACGTCTGGGAATCTACCACGTCCACGGTCCGACTTAGTAAATGATCATGCATACAATGGACTCCGGATTAGGTGCGTTCCTCTAAGTCTTCCTACCAATATGACCAAGTTGCGAAAACAAGGTCAAATAACTTCCATAATAACTTTTTAAAAATGTATACTAAGATAAAAGAACAAAGGAACCCGACGTGATGAAAGCTATAAGCGTAATTGATGGGGAATTTAATCGAGCATACTGAATGTGAGGCGATGGCACGGCTCCGTCTGAATAGAATTAAGCATAAATCTAATGGTTGTGGAGAAAAATGAAATTCTTAAATTGTGTCTTCAAATAACATACTTATTCATCTCTGGGGCACAAACAGAGAATCTGCGTTCATACTTGGGAAGTGGGTGAAGTAGGATGTACACAGTGATTCAAATGGAAGACCGTAGAAATAACTAAGAAAATAATATATTTGCTTTAAGTTATGAAGAGAAAAGTCATTTCTGAACTCACAGCGCAGTTTCCTGACCAATCGAGCCATCTGTCCAGGAAAGACTGGCGCCTACTGCAATGGGTCCGCTACCAACACAAGTAAACGGCTGCGGCAACGCCATAATCTGCTGATGCTTGGAATGATGATGAATGTAGTGGTAGTGGCGAGAGTCTTCCAATGGTGAAGTACAAATAGGGCCGATACCTTCACCAGCCGATCCAAGAGACCCATCGAGTATATCTTGCTCCAATCCCGCCAGTCCCGTGGGCAGGCCATGCAGGTCAGCTTCACCAACGCTGGCAGAGCTGACGGTTGCGGCTGTTCCAAGCATACCAGACACATTTGCTCCGCAGTTGGTTGAACAAACAGGCATGGAAGTTAAACCACTGATTCCAGGCTCCTGAACCGAATAACAACCATTCATGGATGTGGCAACGCCGGTGCCCAGGAAGCAGGGGCCAAAGCCAAGAAGTGATTCGTGCTCCTCACTGGCTATCAAATCGTCCTCATCGGGTGGTCCACAGACTGGTGGGTAAACGTCCCACCGACGTGCTCCGGATCGCAATAACCAGGTGAACCACGAATGCATACGATAGAAAACCTGATTCGGAAGGGACCAGATGCGATGAATAGAGGACTATGAGGAATAGGACCCAAGAGCTGAACAAATTACTTGGGAGTAGTTTGAATGCGTTCAAAAGAGGATTCAAATTAAAAAATGATTAGAAGTTACTGGATCTTGTTTTAGCAAATTGGTCATACGGGCAGGAAGACCTAGAGGAACGCACCTTGTCAGGAGTATATAGTATGCATGATAATTTCTAGTCAGACCGTGGACTTGGTACATTCCCAGACGTTTAACCGGCATCTTCAGATAACCTCGCCATTCTTAACACAACACTACAGCTCGTCAAAGAGACAAGTGAAGCCGATCATTTGACCAATTGTGCGCTAAACAGTTTTGCTATCACTCTTTCTGTTCTAGGCTATTCACCTATCTTATATCCTCCTATCACCCCTTCAATACCACAACTTTTAGTTGTTTATCTAAACCTATTTAAAACCTATTCACACTCCACACTCCCACTGTGCCGGGAGTGCTGATCCAAGGCTGCGGTTTAATCTGCAATCCTCTCCTTTCGGCTCCCATCAGAGTCCCCTTTTGCTCCGTAGGATCCTTCCCTTATCTACCTGTTGCAGTGATTTCACGCCATCGCTGCCATCGTATCCGTGCTACTCAAGACATTATATTCTACAGTCTGCCTCAATCTTTTGCTAGCACAGATACACCAGCCTCACTGAGCAAATCCCTAAAGTCCGGATAATCAACTTATCTAATAATAGCCAACCACCATTTCTATCCCTAGTGTCAAGTCTATGAATGTCTATTGCGTGCAGGCCACCAAATGTGATGATTTTACTTGATTTGAATATGCTCACTGTAGACGTCTTCTTTTTTATTTTCCTAAAATTACAAATATTACCTTTATCTAATCGTTTACTTTTTCCTGATATTGTTGTTCCATGATCATCTCTGAGTTTACTTGGGTAGTATGCAAAGGTTTCGCTAATGATGCTTTCATTAAAGTGTCCTATTCATTAGGTTTCCTTTAATCAAGATATCAAGTAAAACCATCACAATTGGGGGTCGGCACGCAATAAAGTCCTAGACTTCGCATTAGGGATAGGGATATATAAATGTTGGTGGCTATTTCTAGTTAGCTCATAGACGTGGTCTATGAAGTAAAGGCTTTACTACGAAATGTACTTGATGCACATGCCGCACAGCAATAAGGGAATCTGCAGCGTCAAATTAGGTTGCTACGCCAATTGGGAGGCCGCCTCGACAGAAAGTTGATCAAGGGATTGACTTCACTTGTCTATTTCATGAGTTGTAGCTTGTCTGCTGAGAATGGCAAGACTCATTGATGATTTCGACTACGATTCCGCCTGTTGTACGAAGTCCATGGTTCGACTCTGGAAAGTATCATGCATACTATGGACTCCAGACAGGGTGCGTTCTCCTATGTCTGCTAATATGACCAAATTGCAAAACAAAGGCCAAACAACTTCTATATAACAAAAGGAGACCGTGTCCATACAAAAGGTCATACCATCCTGGTCTTCATACCTTCGAGTAAGCTATTCAATGTCATAGATATTAAGTCTGGATTAAGGAAGGATCTACGCAAGGCTCTTACTCCGGATGATTTTTAAAAACTCCACAGTATGACTGACCAGAAGTCACAGAGGGTCTGGGATTTGATAAATAAGCGGCATGACAAGAAATTGCATAGATATGGGATAATAAGACAGCACAGAATCAAGCCAACTCGGGCCAACTTTGATGGTTCTGTATTGAAAACATCAACTGTTATAACCGACGATAGAGATAAGGTAGTAAACCTATCATTAATTCCTCTTGATTCTGAAACGGTGGATCTCCTGAAGAAAAGGTCGAATTATTCACTCTTTAACAAAGAAGATATTTTAAAAGATATTCTTGTAGAAGTGATCAATATCTCGAAGAACTTCCCAGAAGATACCAAACGGCAGATGAAAATTGAATTAATCCCGAGAATTCTGTCCCATCAAGAGCCAATGAAAAGGAGTAAATTGATGAAGATACGTAAAAAATTGCAAATGAATCATTAAATAGCTCTTCAGGTGGATAAGGGAAGTGAGAATGTGATAATGGACAGGCAACAGTAGACGAAGAAAATGGAAAGTATTGTAGGCGATTGGAACACTTATCAAATACTAAGAAAAGATCCAACAATCAAGCTCAACAGAATATTGAAGAAAATGTATAACGGAGAAATCGACATATCGATAATGAATTCTTTAATAAAAAATGACGCAAGACCATCGACAGCCTACAGACAGCCGAAGATGCACAAGGGAGGGAAACCATAACAGGCACGGAGAAACACATAAACTAGTTACATTTATTTGCTTGAAGCTCAAGAAAGTAAATGACAGACACTCGGATACCGTGAAGAATGCATATGAATTTTCTCAAAGTATCCAAAACATTGGGCTGGTGGGGACGGAAGTATTGGTAAGTTTCTATGTACAATCCAGATGCACAAACATCTATGAGAAGGCAGTAAGCTCTTTCCTGTAGATACTGGGGTGAGAAGAGGATATCCTAGAGGCAGAACGGATAGGGAAGGAGTCGTTAAGACGACTGATCAATCTGACAGTAAGGACCACCTATTTTGCATTTAAGGGCAGTATCTACGAGCAAATATTTTGACTAAGGATTGATCTCCACTCTCACCTCTTTTGGAAACTATATACATGGACAAATAGAAAAAGATTAGCCTTGAATTTGGTTTTGACTCTAAAACCTCATACGACTCACGAGCATTGCATGCGCACAACGCGCATGAACTGGAACCTAATCACATGCGTCAACATTGCCATATCAAAAATATAGATTTAGTGGAAGATACAGGCTGTTCCATCACATCTGCATCCAATTCACGCGTCAGGTGCAGACACTTCACTTCTCAACAATCATGTAGGAAAAGCATTGGATAGCCAACCAAATCGT